GGTGCTTTTTTTCTTAATTTTTGGGAATAATTTGTGAGGTTAAGGTACTATTCTTTAGAACAATTTGATCAAATTTGAATTTCACAGAATTCTCCTGTGAAGTCATAAGAACTAGGTCCCCATCCACATCCCCCCACCGCCTCTACTCCCCCCTTCCCTTCCCGCTTTGTTAGTTAATTCCTTTGGCGCTACTTCTATTTCTTTTTCTGAGATGGAATTATTTAACATCTCTTTCCGGTCTTCTGATAATTTAGGTATTTTATTATTCCTCTGGTTCTTTTGTACTCTCAATTTTGTTAGCATATTATTTGTGCATGTGATTATTGTTTTAATTCTAGTTCTGTTATGATTTCACCTTGCTAACTGCTATTTTATAGATTTCATTTTCTTTTCCCTTATTAATCAGATTAGCTACAGGTTTGTCAATTTTATTAGTCTTTTCAAAGAACTAGCTTGTAGTTTTATTTAACAGTTTTATGAAATTTTTTCCAATTTATCTATTTCTCCTCTAATTTTTAATATTTTCTCTTTTGTGCTTATTTTAGGTTTATTTGTTAGGTAGCTAGTTTTTTTTAAAAATGTATATTCACTTTCTTAATTCTCTCTTTTTCTATTTTGTTCACATATGATTGCATTCCCCTGAGGACTGCTTTAATTGCATCCCAAAATATAGGTATGCAGCTTCACCATTGTAATTTTACATACTTGTTTCTGTGATTTGTTCTTTGATCCACTCATTATTCAAGATTTCACTGTTAAGCTTTCACGTCAGTCTGTATTTTTTGTTTGTGGTCCCTGAACCAATTTCTTTCTTTCTTTATTGCATTATGGTCTATAAAGACTGTATTAACTATTTCTGCCCTAAATTCCTTTGCAATAGTTTTGTGCGCTAGTAGTACATGGTCAATTTTCACAAAAGTTCCATGTGGTACAAAGAAATAAGAACATTATTTTGCTGTCTCATTGAGATGCCATAAATTTATTTTTAGTTTCTCCAGAAACGTGTTCATTTCCAAACTTATCCAAGTTCCAGACATACAAAATTGACAGATGGATGATGAAGTCTCCTGTTATTGTTGTGCTATTATATAATGTCTCCTTTATGAATCTGGAAGTTAAGGAATTAGGAGTAAGTTTATTACTGATATTAATTTGTTGTCTATGGTTCCTTTCAGCATAATATAGTTCCCTTGTCTATCCCTTTTAATATTTTGAAAGTTTTTTTGCTTTATCTGAGAACATGGTGGCAACTCCTGCATTTTTTAATTCACTTGAAACATAATAAATTTTATTCTATCCCCATGGTTTTATTTTGTGTGTCTTTCTGTCACTCTTTTTCATTTTACTGCATTATTTAGTCCATTCACATTTAAAGTTTTAAGAGTAAGGTTTATATTTTCTTCCATGTCTCTAAAATTCATGGTTTTTTCAAGTTATTATTTCCCCCTCTGCTGCTGTAAACACAGTATTATATTCCCTCAGTTAACTTACCTTAATCTTTTTTTCAGGTGTCTCTGATCCTACAGGCTCTGGTTCCTCACCTCAGTCCCTCTTCTCATTTGTTATTTTTCTCTCTCTCAGGTTTTCTTATTACTTCTTTTTTTTCTCCTGCTTTTATCTGGTTATATTTCTTACCCTTCTTTCTTCTTCTCAGTCACATAGTTTCCCCCTTTCTTTCCTCCCCTTCAGCTGGTCCTCTATTCATTAGTTTTTTAAATGTCATATTTTGTGTCCATTTCCAAGAAAGATTTCTCTCACTCTCTTTATCTTTTCCTGTCTACTTTAGACCCTCATTCTCTGATTGATGACCCCTATAATTATCCAGCCTCTCTCTTTTCTCTGTATTCTTCACGCAAACAAAACTTCCCAAGCATTCTTCTAGGACTACCCTCTAGGGACTTTCTGTCAATTGCTTATAGAGCCTGTCCCACAGATTTCCCCTTTTCAATTGTGCCTCACTCACAACACAATTCCAATCATTTCAGGTATTAGAGAGGACACTGCCCAGTGGCAGGGTCCCTTCCTACTGTGTCCCTAATTTATGTAGACCATCACTAACCTATACTCTTCCTTGCTGACCTTTCATTTCTCCACATTTCCCTGGAAATCTCTTCCCTGTGTCTATACTGTCACATTCCTCCAGGTGCCAAGAGCCCCTGGGCATTCCAATTTACCGCCTCCCAATGCAATAGACTCTTCAAGTTCCAGGTCCCCCAGGCCTCATTCACTGTAAGATCCAACTCTCCTTTCATTCACTGACCATCTCCCCTCACTCATAAGAGCATTCATTAGTGGAATCACCTCTAAATTAAGGCCAACCTTCTCCTCCCTCCCCCTTCCATTATTTTCCTCCTCCAAGTCACCTATTCCCCTGTAAGCTCTTCTCCTTCTAAGACTATCTTCCTCTCATTTCTGAGCCCAAGATTTGACCTCCATGCATCACACACTCTTCTATCCTTCTGTGTCCTCTCCCTCTTTTTTGTGCTCTCCCATATTATGAACAAAAAAAGCACTGATACACTGTAAACAAAGTATTACTAGATTCTTTACATAATGTCCCCTATTGCCTCTTCACTGCCACCTCCACCATGTTTGTGTATTCACCTCTATGTCCTTGTGAGAAGTTAGAAAAAAATTTCTTACTGATCTCTCTCTTGTCATTCTGTCCTTACCTGCTACATTTATTTACTCTTCTTGCTTTTCTCTATTTTGAGATGTTAGAGATGCACATAATCCCTTCAGTTCTGGGTTTTTTTTCTAAAAACTTTCAAGCTCTTCTTTATCACTAAAAGTCCATCTTTTTTCCTATAAGGCTAAGCTCAGATTTGCAGGATAGATCATCCAGCGCTGTGTCCTGAGCTCTTGCTTTTTGAAATACATTATTTTACTTTATTCTCTCCTCCTTTCTGTAGTGGGTGTGGAATAATCTTGCATTATTTGAATGTCCTTTCCTTTGTATTTGAAGGTCTGTCTCTTAATGACTTGAAGAACTTCTTGTTTCTGGAATAAATTATTAAATTTAGCCACTATGTTATCTTAGATTTTTTTTTCTGGAAGCAATCTGAATTCTTTCAATTGGAATTTCATTTTCTTTGTTCAGAAGTTCGAAGTAGTTCTCATCTATTACTTCCTTCACCATGGTGTTAAGGTTTTTTTCTCCTATTGTGTTCTTGAATATCTATGATACTTAGATTGTCTCTATGCATCCTGTCTTCAAATTCCATGTATTTTGCTTACATAATGAGCTTATTTTCTTTTAATGTTCTTGGTTTCTGCTTCTCTTCTTAAAAGCTGACCTTCACTACTGTGTATTTGAATTCCCAATCCATTGTTCTCTCTTTTGTTTCTTCGATGAAGCTTTCCATTATAGATTCAAGCTTTTCAGTTCTGTTTGTTATTTTTGATGCACAGGACATAAATTCTGCTCTTATAATTCTCATTTCTTCTTTCAACCACTTGGGAACAACATGTTGTGTTTCCACAAGTCTCCTCTAATTCCACAAAGTCCTCTAGCTCATTAAGTGTTAGATCATTTTCTTTTGTTTTGCAGTATTTATTCATAGATGTCTGAACCTGTTTACTAGATCTAGAAGTGTTTCCTTCTGTTGCTATTGTTTTTCCTATTGCTTTATCTGTTTATGTTCAAGGTCTTTGAATTTTCTTCTTCCTGCAATCTTTGATAATTTCAATCTTTTCCTCCCATATTTTCCTTAGCATTCACTTCCTGACCTTCTCTCCTCTGACTGTGGTTTCCTTAGGAGCTCCATCTCACAGTGCTCAGCCTCAGCCTATACTGGGCAATTCACAATTCACCAGCCTAGGTTTCTGCCCCCAACTGACTTTTTGAGTGGTCAGACTGGTCCAAGCTGGATGTTGTGCTCCTTCCCCTCAGGCCTGGTATAGTGCTGCACATCCTCCCCACCTTTTACCCTCCCCCTCTCCCCATCCTGATGATCTGACCCACTACTTCTGTTTCTTGGTTTTCTAGGCTGGCACTGGAAGTTCAGGGCTTTGCAGCACTGTTTGCCCCAGCACTAGCAATTTAGAGGTTTCCAGCACTGGTACTTCCACACTGCAGTTCCTGGAAGGATTTTGCTCCTGAAGGGCTATGGCCAAGCTGGCTGTGGAAACTGAAGCAAACTTCCACTTCCTGCAGCCAGGATTTCCACAGCCCTATAAGGAGAAGGGAAGACCAATGGTAGGGGTGAGTTTTGTTGCTGTGTCCTGTCTTGGGGCTGATAGTGCAACCTCAGAACATAGGAGCTCCCTAGGGAGGAACTCTGAATGAGCTCAGGGTCAGTAAGCATCAATAATAGGTTTTTCAAGGTTTTTTCTGTTTGTGCCGTTGTTTTTTTTTTAATCTTCTTTTAGATTCTTGGAGACCTAGACCATGGAGAGAGCTGGAATTGTTTTATCTTTGGTGCATAATGTCTGTTTTAAAGAGGTCTGAGAGGTCATGGGGAATCAGAGAAAATGTCTAGTTTTCCCATCTTGTGGCTCACGTGAATTCGAATACTAACTCTTGGGACTAAATGCTTTCTACTGAAATAAAGAAAAATCCTTTTATTCCTGTTTTTATAATTTGTTCATAAATGAATATTTATACTTTATTGGATACCTATTCAGTAGATTGATATGATCAGATAAATTTTAACTGGTTTTTTATGTGCACTATGCTAATTTTATCCCTAATACTGAAACATCATTAAGAATCTTTAGTATTTCCTCTACTAATATGGATAGAACTTTGAAATAAAACTCAAAAGTGGCAGTTAATTCTATTCAGATATAATTTTAGTATGATTCAAGAACCTTATAAAGAAACATGGAAATATTGCTATTTGCAACTGTCTGGAAATTTGTAATTTTCTAGAAAATAAATGCATTTATTTGCTTAAGAATGCAAGAAAAATGACAGAGAATATTCTTCTATCCCAAGATCAGGAACAATAAATAAAATTTTAAAAGGTTATTTAAAACAAAGATAATCAAAATCTTACTGGGTAAACCTTCAGTCTCCAGCAAAGCCCTGAAACTTGAAGAGGTGGACTGTAAACAGGATCTGCCCTCTGGCGCAAAGTGCTAAGGAGAAAGAAAACATCCTGATGTTAATTTATAACAGCTAAATAAATCAAACTTTATGGCAACTGAAATCTTACAATTATTGCTAAAAAAACCAAAAACTCAGCAACTATGAAAAAATAACGTTTGTGGTATATGAACTTATATTCCTGAACAGGGAATCAGAGATGAATGAACCGATTTAATTATATTTTAAAGATATTTCCAAATAGCGTTTTCATAATGATCAAACCATGTTTACACTTGGGGACATTTAAAGAAACCAACTCCAAAATGGCTGAAAAAATGCAACAATACTTTGCACTGAATTTACTATTGTGATCTATAATTTTTGGTTACTATGAAAAGAAATAATAATGTAAAGAAATTAAGAGAGACTAGTTAAGTAACATGTTCAAAATTATACGAGTGATAGTGTCAGCATTAAGATTAACATTTAACAGCTTTATTCCTAGACCTGTTCATGACCTATTCCTCCACCCCTTAACACATGGGGAATCAGACAAAATGTCTAGTCCTCCATCTTGTTGCTCATGTGATCTAGAATACTAACTCTTGACCTTTCTTTTTTTAATGCTAGAAGAGAACATCTTAAAACACAGGTACTTAACATTAAGAGATAACATGGGAAACAGTATTAACATGTGAAAGCATCATATTTTCCCCACCATATAATCACCATTTTGATCAATAAAATTATTCTATAATGATTATTGAAGCACAGGACAAGTCGTATAGCTTCTTGCAGTTCTGTATTACAAATTAAACTTATTTATAAATAACTCTCATTTACAATGGCAAATTTTGTACATACAAAATAATGAGGCTGCCAAATAGTCTTACCTGAAGTTCTCTAAAACAAAAGTAGTCGAATCATAAGCTGGCACTAACTCACTAAAAAGACAAAACATATATCGCAAGAAATTATTTCACTTTGCAAAACCAGTAAAAAAAAAAATTAAAATATTAAGCTCTCAGATAAAATTTATAATCCTAAGAAGCAATAATGTGACTGATCAATATCAAATACACCTTTAAACAAGTATTTATTGACTATCAATTCCTAGGATCTAGACAGATTACAACTCATTATTATTCAAGCTAGTACAATTTCACAATGTTAAGATTCTTGTTACATATCATGAGAACCAAGAATAGTTATAGGCAAAGTACTCAGAAACACAGATGCCAGGGGCACAGCAAAGGATACTTCTAAATACTACTTTTATTTTAATGCAATATATATTTAATGAAAGAAAATTCTGCTCTCTGGGGCACATGAGTATTTCTTTAACATAAGTCAATCCATACGTATTACACACTTAAAGCAAAAAAGAGCATTGTCCCCTTCTGGTATGTGTTAGAATGCTCAAGAATTTATAAAAATATGCAAAGAATTATCTAAATATACTCCCCCAAATACAGATTCTGGAAGAAAGTGTGACAATACTCTAAATCACTACTGATTAGAAAAATGAAAATTAAAACAACTTAGGTACCATTCACACCGATCAGACTGTCTAATATGACAGAAAAGGAAAATAATAAATGTTGGAGAAGATGTGGGGAAACTGGAACACTAATGCATTGTCAGTGGAGTTGTGAACTGATCTAACCATTCTAGAGAGCAATTCAGAACTATGCCCAAAGGACTATCAAACTGTGATCCAGCAATACAACCATTAGGTCAGCAGCCCAAAGAGATCATAAAAAAGGGAAAAGGACCTACATGCACAAAAATATTTCTAGCAGCACTTTTTTGTAGTGGCAAACAATTGGAAATTGAGAGAATGTCCATCAACTGAGGAAAGGATGAACAAGTTGTGGTATATTTAATGGAATACTACTGTTCTATAAGAAATGATGAGCAGGCAGATTTCAGAAAAACCAGGAAAGACTTACATGAACTAATGCTGAGTGAAATGGGTAGTACCAGAACATTGTACACAGTCACAGTAACACCGTTCAAAGATTAAGTACTAAGACAATTCCAAAAGACTGAAGCATACTATTTTCACTTTTGTTTTGTGTTATTTTTTTCTTTCTTGTGGTTTTTTCCCTTTTGTTCTGATTCTTCTTTTACAACATGACTAATGTGGAAATATGTTTAACATGCACATGTACATATACATGCATGACCTATGTCAGACTGCTTGCTGTCTTGGGGAGGTGGGAGAGAAAGGGAGGACAGGAGGGAGGGAGGAAAACTTGGAACTCACAATCTTACAAAAATGAATACTGAAAACTATCTTTACATGTAATTGGAAAAAAATAAAACACTATTAAGTGCAAAAAAAAAGTTGTGACAATATTCAAAGGTAAGCACCCTCAGGGAACAGGATAGTTTTTGACACAGCCAAAGTAATTTTGAAATGCTTAAATGATAAACTTGTGATGAGGAAAAGTCACTAGCAGAGGATTATGTTGTTATATTCCATATTCTTTAAAAATTCATGTGCATAAGATAAGTAAAGGAGGAATTACGAACTTCAGAGGTTTCATCAAAAGATTCCTTAAAAAGCAAGCCACTCTACTGCATTTAAAATACTGTCTAATTTCATGCCCTACAAACTGGCAAAGATGTCAAAAGTTTAGACTAATCAATGCAGGAGGGAAGATAGGCACATTGGTATATTGTTGGTGAAATTGTAAAACAGTACAATTATTTAGGAAAGTAATTTGGAATTATGCATATAAAATGACTCTCTTAGACCTAGAGATTCCATTTCTCGGCATAAACCCCAAGAAAGCCATAAGAACTAAGTCCCTACACACAATAAAATATTTATAGCAGCAGTTTTGGGGATAACAAAGAATTGTTAACAAAGCAGGTATCTATCAATTAGAGAATGGCTAAATAAATTGTGGTACATGAATGTAATGAAATATTATGTGCTACAAAAAAATGATGAATGTGATGAATACAAAGAAGCATGGAAAGACAAATGTACACAAAAATATAATAACTACAGCAATGTCAATGTAAAGAACTACCAAAAAATTAATCATTAATGTGCGAAAATTGGAAAGATCTACATGAATTAATGCACAGTGAAGTAAACAGAACCAAGAAAACAATACATACAATGACTACAACAATGTAACTAGAACATATATGCAGTATATATGCAGTTGTCCTGTATTTTCAAACTGGAAATTACTGCTTAGCAGTTACTATATTTATTCCCCAACTGATAAACTGTCAAAGGATACAAACAGGCAATTTTCAAAGGAAGAAATCTAAATTATCAAGAGCAATATTAAAAAATGGTCTAAATCATTTATAATCAGAAAACGCAAATTAAAACAATGCTGAAGTTCCAACTCAAACCATCAGACTGCCAAAGTTGACAAAAAAAAGAAAATGACAGATGATGGAAGGGTTAAGGGGAAGAAAGGTACATTAATTCACTGCTGGAGCTGTGAACTGATCTAGCCATTCTAAAAAGCAGCTAGGAACCATGCTCCAAAAGTTATTAAACTCTGCATACCTGTTGACTCAACAATTCCACCACTATTCTCTAGATTTTCGGGACACCATTCTCTCCTGGTTCTCATCCTACGTATCAGACCACTCCTTCTAAATTGCCAGATACTCTTCCAGATCACAGTCTCTAACTGTAGGTGTCTCATAGGCTCTCTTCTGTTCTATACTGCTTCACGTGGTGATCTCATCAGCTGCCATGGATTTAATTACCATTTTTATACTGATGATTCTCAAATCTACACATCCTGCCCCAACCTGAGGACCTCTAATCTCTTATCTCCAACTGTCTTTCAGACATTCCAAACTGGATGTCTAGTAGACATCATAAACTCAACATGTCTAAAATGGAACTCTTTATCTTTTCTCCTAAATCCTCCCCCACTTCTAACTTTCTTATTACTGTAGAGGGCAACACTATTTCTACATGGTTCCCAGGCTCACAACCTAGATGTCACCCTCTACTTCTCACTGTCTTTTACTCTCCATATCCAATTTGGTGACAAGGCCTATTGGTGTCACCTTTGTGATATCTTTCAAATATACCCCCTTCTCTCCTCTGACACTGCTACCACTGCTACCACCCTAATACAAGCCCTCATCACTTTACTCATGGACTATTTTAATAACCTGCTGGTGGGTCTGCCTGCCTCAAGTCTCTCCCCAATCCAATCTATCCTCCATTCATCCACCACAGTAACTTTCCTAATGCACAGATCCAAATATGTCACCACGCCTACTCAATAAATTCCAGTGGTTCCTTATTGCCTCCAGGATCAAATACAAAATGCTCTGTTTGGTATTCAAAGCCCTTCATAATGTAGTCCCCTTCTACCTTTACAATCTTCTTGCCACCTTACTCTCCCCCGCAAACTCTTCAATCCAATTGTGCTGGCCTCCTGGATGTCTGTCCCATGAACAAAACAGACACTACATCTTTCAAGTCTGGGCATTTTCTCTGGTTGTCTCCAAGACCTCCTTATTTCTGTCCGTTGGCTTCCCTGGCTTCCTTTTAAGTCCAAACCAAAATTTTATCTTCTCTAGGAAGTGTTTCTATATCCTAGTGACTTCCCTCTCTTAATTATTTCCTATTTATCCTATATGCAGCTTATTTCTACACCTTTGCTCATTGTCTCCTCCCTTAGATTCTAAGCTCCTTGAAGGCAAAGGCTGTCTTTTGCCTCTTTTTGTACCCTCAAAACTTAGCACAGTGCCTGACACATAGTAAATGCTTAATAAATATTTACTGATTGACTACTAGCTATATGCCCCAAAGACCGGTTTGTACAAAAATATTTACAGCAGCTCTTTTTTTGGTGGCAAAGAACAAGAAACTGAGGGAGTGCTTGTCAATTAAGGAATGGCCAAACTAGTTAAGATATATAATTGTAATAAATACTACTGTGCTATTTTAAAAAAATGAAGGAGATGGTTTCAAAGAAACCTGGGAAAACTAGTATGAACTGATGTAGAGTGAAATGAGCATAAGGAGTAGAATTTACACAGTAACAACAAGACAGTTAACTTTGAAACACTTAAGTACTTTAATTGATGCAAAGACCAACCACAATTCCAGATGATTTATGATGAAACATGCTACTTATCTCCTAACACAGAGGTGATGGACTCAGAATACAGACTGAGATATATTTTATTTTGCACATGAACTATGCAGGAATTTGTTTTGCTTGACTATGTTATGAGAATTGTGTTTTTCTTTTTCAATGGAGGGGGAGGGATGGGCCAGTTTTCATGAATTGAAAAAAGAAAATTTTAACTGAAAAAAATTACTATATTACACAATAACTGAAAAAGCTAGCAAAGGAATAATAAGGTGTTTTGGTTTTTTGTTTTTTTTCACAATGAACACAAGAAGTTTGTCATTTAATTATTGATTATAACTACTATCCAGAGTGCCTAACACTATTTGTAGCTACTATTATGGTCATAATCAGAGCCCTTTGTGCAAAATAAACAGTTTTTATCTTTCAGAGCTACATACTAGACAAATTATTTTTCAGGCACTGCATTCTATTGTACTACTTAAGCTTGTGTTTCCCATCTATATCATTTCCTCTTTTTAATCCATCCTGGATATGACTGCGCAGGTCTTATTATATCATTATAATTCTCAAAGGCCTCTAGAACTTACAGAATAAAAAGTCTAAGTTGATATTTAAGGTTCTCCAAATATTGGTTCCAACTTTCTCTCACATGCGATCAACCTCTTTCCCAATTTACTATTTCTCACATAAACCTAAACTTTCCCACCTCCTCATCTTTATTCTCATCTTATTTTCTGTGTCTAGAATGCCCTCCTACCCTCTTCTCTGTGCCTGCTCTTGTCCTACTCCTCTTCTGTTATCTTGACTCTTCTTCTCCAGCACCTGAAACTTATCACCACTCCCTT